CTGCGGCAGGCGGGGAGGGAGGCAGGAGGCAGGATCTGTGCCGGGGAGCCAAGAAGCACTGCATCACCTGGGACAGGATGCTCTGGTACCCAGGTGGCTTCACACAACCCACCCCCCCGCTGTGCAACCCCAACACCCCAAAACAGGTCCTGGGCAGCCAGGGGATACAGGCCTGGGTTAAACAGCTCCTGGGGAAGGAGGAGAGGGATTTCCCAGCACTTCTGCATGGCGCTGAGGTATCCCCATCCCGGTATCTCAGTGTATACCTAAAATTGATATTGCCCTGACCCCTAAAATTGATATTCCTGCCGATATCCCCAGATGCTGCAGCTCTCAGCACTCCCCCTGTGCCACTGGGCTCACTGCAGCCCCCCGTGCCCCCCGTGCTGCTGGGGGCTGCAGGCAGGAGAGGGACAGGCAGGGCTCTCCCCAGTCCCTGCCTGCCTCCCCACTGCCCGTCTTCGCCATGGTGGCCGTGCACCATCCCACAGAGGCAGGTCTGAAGGGGCTGCCTGGGGGACACCATCCATGGGACATGTCCCATCCATGGGACAAGGTTCTCCTGGGTCCCCCCAAGGGTGGGCACCCAGCCGGGGAAGGGCAGGATCCCCAGGTTGTGGGTGCTGTCACTGCTCCCACCTGGGGTGACACCAGGGTGAAACGCCAGTGTCACTGTCCGTGTCCTCACCTCGGGAAGGTCCCATCTCGTTGTGCCCCACTCACACCCGCAAGGTTGGGGGGTTCCTGGGCAAGGATCCGCTTGATGCAGGGGGGCACAGCACCCTGGGGTGCTCACCCACTCCCATGTACCGGGGCAGGCACACGAGACACTGTCTGTGCCCAAACGCCCGGGAGGGCCAAGCAATATCACAAACACATTTGTTCACCGCAGCCCCCTCTTTGCATCTCTAATTGCGCACCGTGCCCTTGAATTTGCATAGAAGGCTTAAAATATAATTAATTTTTGGCACCCGGCAAAGCCCGCACGACGCTAATCCCTTTAGATTTTGCAGCCTTATCTCATTTGAGCGTTTATCTAGTTAAGCTTAATGGGTAAGGGAGAGGGGAAAAAGAAGTCAGCTGCACTTATCTGAAGAGCTGCTGCTCCCCCCCAGGCAGCCCCCACGCAGCAAAGAGCAAAACAAGGGCACAACCCCCCTAAAACTGCCCAGCCCTGTCGGACCCCCTGGGCTTTATATGGGGCCTTACATGGAGGCCAAGTGGACTCCATATAAAATCTTTTTGGGTTACAATGGTGTAATGGGGCACCTTGGAGGGGCTCCATCCCGGAGCAACCCCAGGACTCTCCCCGTCCTGGCACGGACTCACGTGTAGAGCGGCTGTAGCTGTAGGTGTGACGTCTTCTGTGGCGCCTGGTAGCCGTAGGAGTCAAAGCCGCCGATGAAGTCGACTGGGGAGAGGGGGAGAGCAGGAGGTGAGCTGGGCAGGGCAGTGGGGCAGTTTCCCTTGCCTCCCACCACTCCGATGGCACCCACGGGTCATGCAGCATCTGGAATGCAGCAGTATCCCAGGGAAGTGCAGCATCACAGCTTGCAGCTGCATCCCAGGGAACTGCAGCATCACAAATTCTAGCACCATCCTGGGTCACTGCAACATCCTGGGTCACCACAGTATCCCAGGGAACTGCAGCATCCTGGGTCACTGCAATATCCTGGGTCACCACAGTATCCCAGGGAACTGCAGCATCCTGGGTCACTGCAACATCCTGGGTCACCACAGTATCCCAGGGAACTGCAGCATCCTGGGTCACTGCAACATCCTGGGTCACCACAGTATCCCAGGGAACTGCAGCATCCTGGGTCACTGCAACATCCTGGGTCACCACAGTAGCCCAGGTAATTGCAGCATCCCGGGTCACTGCAACATCCTGGGTCACCACAGTATCCCAGGGAACTGCAGCATCCCGGGTGACTGCAACACCATGGGTCACCACAGCATCCTGGGTCCCAGTAGCTTGGCAGGGAAATGCAGCATCCCAGGGAAGCACAGCATCTTGGGTTGCTGCAACATCCTGGGTCATGGCAAGATCCCAGGGACATGTAGCATCCCAGGTCACAGCAGCATCCCAGGAAAGTGCCGGTGAGAAATGGAGGAAAGGAGCCAGACTGACTCGCAGAGATCCCTCGGGCTCTCTCCTCCTCGACAACAGCCTTTGCATCGCAGGCTGGACAAAGTGGGTAAAATTGCCCTGTCATTATCTCCAGAGCGGGCATTTAAGGAGAATTATGGAGGAATTACATCTCGTTTAAAGCGTGTCATTTAGGGGAATTGCAGACACCAATAGATCACTTCTCACTCCGGGATTTCCAGCCCCTCTGGCTGACAGAGCCCATCACCCACCCCACCAGCCCCCGGGCACTTGCTGGAGGGATGGGAGCGCCAGAGCCCAGCCTTCACCCCAGCTCAATGCGATGAGAGTGAAGGGTGGCCTGGGTACCCCAACTTCTCCCGGGATCATCCTATGTGCCCCCAGAGCTGAACCCTCGCCGGGGCACAGCCAGCCCAGGCACGGGCACCAGGCACAGCTGGGCTGGGGTATCCAAGTGTTACAGGAGCCGTAGCGTGACCCATTTCCCCAAAACAAATACATTAATCCCCAAGGAGCCATGATCCGGGTGGATTCGCACAGGGGTGGCCAGGAAACAGCAGTGAGCTTGAGGGGGGAGCCCAGTTCTCCCACCACATTTATCTTCCCGACTTAATATTCAGCTGGCTCTCAATTTTGACGCCATCCATCCATTTTCAAATCTAATAAGATATTCCATTAAAAAAGATGCATTTGAATCTTGGGCTCCAGCAGCATTAATATTAAAAGTGTATTGAATGCGGGAGTTTGTTTGAATGCAAACACGCTTCAAAGCCAGCGGCGGTAGATAAACCCTTTTGCCAGCTCCCCGGGTACAGAAACAAGTTATTACCACAGGCAGTGTCCAATTTCACACGGAGATTTTCCTTTTCCGCTACACCAGTTCCCGGCAGCGGGGGAAAAACATGAGGATGCTGAACCCCAGCATCTCCTGGGCTGGGCTGGGACTGGTTTCTGGGTCCGTGGCACCGGCACGGGTGCGGGGCCCGATGCTGCGGGGAAGGAGCCTGATGCTGAGCGCAGCCCAGCGGGTTTTTCCACGGCGGCTGTGGCAC